ACCGCTAGCCGACCCTTAGCGAACGGGGTTCGGGCCTCCACTCGGACTACCCGATAACAGCTCACCGAAAGTGCCCACGCTCGTGCCCATCGAGGGTAGCCTGACACATTCCACCCCTCCTTCCGAGCGAAAAGGAAGCGTGAGGGTCGTACCCAAAGTCAGGGGGATCCCTGACGGACCTCTCGCTCCGTGCGGAGGCTAGAGGGCTTTTCCTGCAGCCTCGCGGAGAACCCCCGCAACCCGAACTTGCGCTTGTGGGCTCGGCAAATGCGATAAAAACTCCTCGCTCAAACGTGAAAACGAAAAAAGCCCCTGGAGGAGTAACTCCACTCCTCCAGGGCCTCGGGGGCTACACCCGGCGGGTGCGCTCGCGCGCACCCACCGGAACCACCAAGTACAAAACACAATCCCAACGGGAGCTGCTACGAGCCATGTCTCGTCAAAACCTTGGGAGAGTGCCCGCACTCCTCCCGAGGCTCGGGGGCTACTGTCGGATACCACAAGAAGGGGTACCCTAAGCAAGAACCAAAAATATTGCTTAAAGCCTTGCAAAAATCAAAGCCAAAGGACAACCACGAGGTCTCGGCAGATTCTCCGACTCGCCCAAGGCTTGCGCCGAGGCTTCAGACAAAAGACTAAAGCCCTCCGCCCCGCCGAGGCCCTCTCGCCGAGGCCCCCTCGCCGAGGCCCCGCCCCGCAAGGCCTCGGATGGGATACCAATTCTCCGATTCGCCCGAGGCTGGGCTCGGCAACAACCTCGTCACCTCCGTCCCGACCGACTCCCCTGACAAAACGTCACGTCCAGTTAATGCGCCCCACTACTCCCGCAACGTCAGCCGCACGTCGGCACTGTACAGGCAGAATGACCGATGGGACAGGGGACCGGGCGCAGCAGGGGTTACCTACCACTGTGCTCATCACTGTGCCCCCTGCTGACACCCGTACTGCCCTGTGTTGCCTAACTCCTACGCCAAGGACAAAGTGGCGTGGAGGGTCAAGTCCGGGTCCCAGTAGTTTTGGAATCAGCATGAAAGACCAAACCGTTTGTCCTCCGCCTCGTCCGAGACCCCCCGGCAAGGCCTCGGGCGTACTATTCCTTCTCCGCCTCGTCCGAGACCCCCCCGGCAGGGCCTCGGACGTACTATTCCTTCTCCGCCTCGGCCAAGGCCAGGCTCGTCCCGCATCCCCGTCGCCTCCGCCTCAACCGTCCCACTGGCGAGCTGTCACATCCGTTTAAATGCACCTGGTCACACCTACTACGCCAGCCACGACTGACAGGGTACAGCGACAGGGGCGATGGGACAGCGATCAAATCTCCTTTTTACCATCCCCTACTGACGGTGCAGGGGTTACCGTGCCCTGTGGACGCACGCTCCGCACTTCTCCACCTGAACCGGGTACGACGCTGACCGCCGAGACCCCCGCATCATACACAGGTCACCTCCGAGGCCTCGGCAAAGCAGGCCTCGGCACGATCAGCTACAGCACCCGCCAGGCCTCGGCACTCCACCAAGTCAGGAACACACAAGGCACGGCATGCCTCCTACAGTGGAAGCCATACTGGCTAGACGTCAACAAGGACTCCCACGACCTCAACAACCTCGTGCCTGGCCAGCACGGCGCGCCAGTCAAGTACCAATCGCCATCCCCAACGCCATGCTGCTACAGGACTAAACTACAGTAGGCTCCACGTATAGCTCACTCATGTACTCCTGGCTCCCTCCTTGCGGTTATAAAAGGAAGCAGCCAGGGATAGCTCGGGGAGGGGAAAAAGAGGAGAAAAAGAGGAGAAAAAGGGGAGAAGAAGAACACCTGATAGCACACACACATACGCATCCCAGCCGCCTGAGAGCAGCGTCTCAAGCCACCCACACGACACCTCGCCGAGACCTGGGATTAGCTCCCTCTCTCACTGTGCTTGTAACCCCCTACTACTAGCACTTCGGTGCAAGGAATACAAGATCGATCTCTCAGACTGGACGTAGGGCATCGATTGCCTAAACCAGTATAAACCTTGTGTCTCTTTGCATCACCATCCGGGATTAGGGGCACGCAGTTCACATTTACTGGTTGGTTGAGGACCCCCGGTCCAAAACACCGACAGTTGGCGCGCCAGGTAGGGGATCTGCGTGTCAGTTTCGTCATCCCAACAAGTTCCGGATGGCAGACCCCGTACGGCCGTTACGTCTCGGCACGGTGATCTGGTTCGGGGGCCTAGAGTTCATGTCCCTGGGGCATGAGTACGACATGGTACTCCTCACGCCCCGAACCCCACCAACCGACGGCGACGTCACGCACCGGCAGCCTAGATAAAGAACAATTGCAACATATGTGTGAAAACATATGCAACATCTAGATAAAGAATGATTGCAACATACGTCTGGAAATAGATGAAATATTTTGAACAAAAGTTTGCAACATGCTTCTAAAATACTTGCATCATAAGCAACATGTGCAACATCCCGTGATCTACTTTTGCAACATCCATAAGAAACAACTACAACATACCTTTGAAACGATTGAAACACCTCACCTTAAAACATACATTTGCAACATAGAAGAGGGGAAGCCTGGGCCGGTCGATTCTAGCCATCAGGGTCAGAGCCGGCGGCAAGCGGTGACGCACGAGCACCACCGCCACCAGCGCCACCAGTACTAGGCTTGGCTTGACGGCGACGGTGGGAGATGGGGGGGCGAGGAGTGCCATGGCCGCCGGGGTGGGAGGAGCTCAGTCACCATGGTGAGAGAGGGCGCCGCCTGGGGTGGGGGAGGGCGCCGCACCGGGGTGGAGGAGAGTCGCCCACTCCCTTGCAACACCGTTGCGCCACCTCCATGGATCTCGCCGGAGGCGAGTGGATCTCGCTCCTGCTCCATGGATCTCGCCGGGGTGGGGGAGAGGGCCTCTGGATCTGTGGGCATTGGGGCTCCCGGTGGGGAAGGACGATGGGCGTTGGTGCGCTACGACAGGGGTGCAGAGCGAGGAATGGGTAAGGGTGGGAGCGGAGCGGAGCAAGGCATGCGGGAGTTGATTTTGTTAGGTGAGGCATGTTTTTGGACATGAGCGGCGCATGCGGCATTGAGTGGAGTGAGGCGTCTGGCCTTCCGGACATCTTAATGGTAGCATTACCATTTGTGTTTTCTCTCACCCCCAACATTACAGAAGCGTCATTTTTGGATCAATCAACTCCATGGGGATTAGGGGAATGGATGGGCGATCAATCTTCCGAGAATTAGGAAACACCTCATGGTTCACTGTTGGCATACCTGATGGCGATGTCGAGGAGTGCGCATGTCAATCGACACTTCCTTCCTGCCGATCTTGTGCACCAACTCTTGGCACTGACTCCTCTCATGAAGGGTGTTGATTACCTTGTTCTCCGGGGTGTTGGGGAGCTCATTGTGCTTGTAGGTGAAGCGCTGGATGTAGTCGCGAGTTGTTCCTCAAGGCTTTCGCATTGGCAATTGCATTGGTGAGATCCCACGTGGTGCTTGGGCTTGGTGTAGGCCCCTCGAAGTTGTCGATGAGATGCCTTTCGAGGTCGCTCAACTCTTCAATGGTGTGCGAGGAAGATGCTCGAGCTAGACATGGGCTAAGTCGGTGAGGTACAACGGAATGTACTGTACATCAAAGTGGGTAGCCTACGTCCAGTGAAGAATAAATCACTTAGACAGTATGCTCGGTGATTTATAGGGGCGCTAATGAATGTGCCTAGTGTTCCTAACTATGAATGTCTAATATATGAATGACTTACCCCTACCTCTCCTTATATAGTCCGGAGGTAGGGTAACAGATGAAATGTTGAATGATATATAACAACAGTTTTCTAGTTTCTTACAAGGAGAATCTATCAGATCTTATTGGATCAACTTGGTCGTCAAGGCTATCTAATCGATATCTTGCTTTCCAAGTACTTGATGCACCCTGTCCGATTTGGGTCTCTTCCTTACCAAGCGGCAGTGACGATCATCGTATCACAAACGATTAAGGGGTTAGATATGGTAGTTATATCATCTTATCACTAGATATACGCCCATGCTTTGGACTGGGGCCGCATTTTTTTGACTGAACCTCAATAATCAGACACGGATGTGTAGCTCTCAGGATTTTATATTGGACGCGGATACGTGGATCCAGTTTTTCAATGTCTCGAACCGGGTAGGACGTGGATGCATGAGCTCGAGTGCAGGATGATTCTTATCGTACCCGGACGTGAACACGTGAGTATGGATCGAGAGTGGGTATCATCGAGTAGATGATGACGTTGCTGCTTTTAGCAACGGAGAAGAAATTTATTATAACGTACTTTTTGTTATTAAAAAGAAATAGTACCATCGCACACTAGACCTAAGCCTTTCCACCTAGCCACTGTATCAAGTTCTCTTGTTAAAATTCCACATGGATGTTGCGCCATATGAAAATTCCATTTGCATCTCTTCGTCAGAACCAATAACTGTCCTAACCGATCGATTTTGGCTGTAGGGGAGCGGCATGGTTCCTATTCCCTCCTTTCCCCAATAAACCAATTTTAAATTTGCTTAAAGTCAAATATCTTTAAGTTTAATTGTATTTATAGAAAAGTGCACCAATATTTATATGACACTAAATTAACATAATTAGATATGCTATGAAATATATTTTCATAGTCTACTTATTTGGTGCCATAAATATTTTTTACCTTTTCGATAAATTTAGTTAAATTTAAGAAAGTCTGACTTAAGACGTACAACTCTAGAAGTTTGATTATTTGGAGATGGAGACAGGCATTTCTTTCCATTGCAGACGAGTGGGAAACACAAACATTGAATGAATGAAACATATCAACATGCTGAAAATAGCAAGACACCTAGCTTGATCCGCCGGCAGGCGGGACTGCTTTTCCTTCCAGTTTGCACCACTGTCAATCAAACACAAGTATATACATAATCACGTCAATAATATACTCCTAAGTGAGATCAAACAATCGAGATAAATAAATAAAACTCACCACAGAATCTGTTGCTTACCTGAACGTCATGACGGTGGCGATAAGAGTGCCGAGGAGAAGGCAGATGAGCACGACATCAAGATACTTGGTAGGGAGATTCAGTGCCGGACTCCTCACAGTCGAGGCCAGCATCAGATAGATGCCAAGAATGATGGTGAGGAAGAATAGGAGCCCAACAGCCCCTGGCGCGATCTCGTCATTGTCTTTCCCAGCAGCAGTGATGAAGTGCCGGACCACGGTCATGATCGCGCTGACGAAGCTGCTCCAGTTAAGGATCAGAGCGGACATCTCAAAGATGCTGTCAAGCTCCTTGCTCGCAGCCTTGTTCCTCTCATCGGCGCTCTGCTGCGCCGCCTGCGCGTCCGGCGGCGGCGGCTTGGGCGGCCATAGCTTCTGCTGGAGGTGGGAGGCGAAGACGACGAGCGGGAGGAAGAGGATGGCGTAGGCGTGGTCCATGTCGAACGCGATGAAGATGAGGTACGTCATGAGGAGCAGGTGCAGCGATGAGAAGTAGACCAGGGCACTACCCAGCTTCGCCTTCGTCTGGAGCGACAGGAGGTCGGCGCAGATGGCGAGAAAGAAGGGTGCGATCGCCATCTTGAAGGCCGTGTTGGTTGATGCATTGGCCGCGTATCCGATAAACGTGCAGACGGCGAAGCCGAGGGCCTTCTGCGAGTATTTCAGGCAGCGCCCACGCTGTTCCTTATCGTCATCTGGGTTGCCATGGACAACGCCGACCTGTTTTTATTCCATTCCAAACAATACTAAAGATCAGTTGCAGGGTATATGAATAAAAGTTTGTGAATGAATAAAGCACATGCATGGAGAACAAGATCGGAGGTAGTAGCCGTGTGATGCTCCTGTATTTATTATCCTTTTTTTTCTTAATTAGCATATTACTCCGTATTATTTTTTGTTATTTTTTGTTATGAAGGAGTTATAAATTAATGACAGCAAGAAGTTGCACTCGGTGTTGGAAAATTTTTCATAATACAACATACATTTATTGCAAAACCATGACGATAATGAAAATAAATCTGGCTACATCCCTTGTCACAAACCGAGTATTTGTTGACAGAGAATTAAACAAGGACTTTTTGCAAAACTGATATATATGGCTAGTCATATCTAAATTCCTCGTGTCCGGAACTCCACGTACAGCAGCAGGCCAGGAAACAAACCTGTGCAGTTCTCGGCGATGCAACGTCCATTACAACCTCAGGTACTGAATTTTTGCTTCCAAACTCGGCTGGCTGTTGCGGAGATAGAGAAGGTTGTACCTGCAATGAAAAGGAAGGTGTCAACTACGCATTCGCCGCACATGCTTAGGGATGAAAATAGGATGGATATTTTCCGATATCCATCCGTCCCGAAAGGGTCAAAATTCTACAAGGATAGTTTGTTTTTCGATCTGAATATTTAATATCCGTACCATATTCGAATCTGAATACTCAAAATTGAATTTCTGTTTCCCTGTTCGCTTGAACTACTTCAGCGATACTTTTCAGCGAACGAACAGTGTTTTCCTCTCACAACAAATCAGCATAAGCATCAGCATAAGCCGAATTTATCCAGTTCCAAGATCCAAACAATTAGGAGATAGAATGCAGGATCACTGATGCCCGTCTGTATCCAATCCAGTTTCATTGCCACATGATCTTTCTAATAATTAAACATGCACTTCTATTATCAATCAGTTCATCAAAATTTTACTGGGCCTAACTGCAATAATGTTGCAGTTGTACAATATAACATGCTTCTTCTGTAAATTTCTTTTGTACGAAGGGAATATGCCATATTGCAATAGTCCAAGTAATATGGAAATTGCCATTGTATATCAAAATTCTGAATAAACCCGAGTGATGTGTCAATAACAGTGTTGCAAACTGTGGAAGGGAAATCAATAGGCATTCCCCGTTTCCATGCAGAATACTACAGTTTGAGAGTAGTTCAGAAAGCAAAAGGTGCAACCAAATGGAAATGAATATACTCCCTAGTTCCAAATTATAAAACACTTTGACTTTTCTACATATATAGTTTTAGCTATGTACATACTGTCTAAGTACAAATTAAAAGCAATGTATCTAGAAAAATCAAAATGTCTTATAATTTGAAATGAATGGAGTAGTATATAGCTTTAGTTAATTGGATCATTATGAAATTATCCTTTTGACCAATAATACTTGGCTTAATATCTTTTTTTCTATGTTCTTGTTGATGAACTCGGAACATGTTATTATTTTTCTTGATTTTGATGAGGAAAAGACATAAAATAGATATTTTGACTCTTTATTTGTCTCGTAATATATTTTATTTGCTTAAGAGTTAAGAGAATCAATATCATCTTACATGCTCTTCGAATACAAAAAATCTACTTAAAAAGTTTATGGACTAAACTTGTATATAATTTGACTAGGGAAGGGCATGGCTGACCGAGTGGTCAGTGCAGGCTCAGTACCACCCCACTGGGGTGGTTAAAGTTCGAGTCCCAAGGGACTCACTCTTTATTTGTGACTTCGCCCGCAACGACCAGAGAAAAAAAGCTCCCTTGTTTGCCCCACATCTAAAGCACAGGTCTGTGGCCAGCTCATCGCGGTGCCGTTGTGTATGGGTGGGGTAGGGGTTCAGGGGGGTTTCTCGATCTATGTGAGAAGATCTTCTTCTTAAGCCAAAATATCCGGGGGCTGTCTAGCCACCGTGGATTGAGTTTTATATAATTTGACTAATTGTTGGTCAAAGCTTATGACGTTTTTACTTTTCTCTATACATACAAAATATACTTATATATCATCCGAAGGGGTTGATCCAAGAGTGTTTTCTCGTGCAGTAGAAGGCAAACCACTTGTACACCATGAGATTGCGAAATTTGATGCTTCTTTGGCATCAAACTACATAATTCCTTGAATGTGGCTACAAACTTGTTTTGGAACTATGGCGTCCGTACGTTTCTCTCTTAAGATGTGCAAAAGAAAATGTTCACCAATCCAATTCTTATAAATTGGACTATGAGTGTTAACTCTTTTTGTTTCAACAAAACTTTTGGATGGACTTAATGCGAATTTCTTTATAGACTTGTGTTGTGAGTGTCCGCGTTGTACTGTGTAATCTAAACAAATATTACAAAAAGCTAAGCAAATTAAAATGTGAAAAATAGTAAAACAAAACAAATTAACCACCCCTTTATGTGGTGATTGGAACAAAAAAGGTATGCATGACAACCAATTATGATTCAAATCAATATATATATACCCATGATTTGCACACTAGAGAACTACCAATGGTTTTATTTATAGGTTTTTAATAGGAACCACACACTTGTTGCAGCAGTTGGTGTGCACTGTGCGTGTATGAGTTGGTGTGCGTTTGGTGGTCTTCCCTATTGGAAAAAACACTACTAGCTTCTTACCTACCATTACATTTTTTTTCAATCCATTATGTGCCACTGTTAGTGATAAGGGATTGCAATTTCCATCAATATGAAATAAGGAATTGTTAAAGAAATAAAGTTTAGAGAAAGGGTACGGTCACGGACAGAACAACCCATGCTATGTACATGGCCGTACACCGGACTAAGGGCCTGTTTGGATGGCGAAAATTTTTACAAAATGACATTGTAGCAGTTTTCGTTGTTATTTGGTAATTAGTGTCCAATCATAGTCTAATTAGGCTTAAAAGATTCGTCTCGTGGATTTCGTCTAAACTGTGTAATTAGTTTTATTTTTTATTTATATTTAATGCTTCATGCATGCGTCCAAAGATTCGCTGTGACGGAAAATCTTAAAAAATTTGGAATTTTGGAGTAGAACTAAACGGTACCTAACCTGAGCAGTGGTCCTTCGCTGTGGACTGTTCAACCAGGGCCCTGTGTTCAACTTGCTGACATCTACCTCATGTGTCCTTCGCTGTGGACTCCTCAACCTGATATCTGCCCCACGTGCCGCCATCCGTGACTGATCATCACTTCGAGGCTCTTGGGGTGGATACAGGGGCTCCATTTCCTGACATCAAAAGCAGGGCTTATTAGGCATCAAACATGGATTCAGACGTAGCAAAGGCTCCAAAGTACGCATCGCAGAGCACGTTGATGCATGAAGTTGAATGTCTAAGTATTAGGAATATTTAAGTATTAGGAAGGCATTTGAACTTTGAAGTTTAAAATTTATATGTAAAACGAACCAGCTAAAAATTGGAATTTCAAAATTATTACACAAATATGTTCAGGAATTGATTGTAGCTCAATTAGTTATGTTTGTTGCGGTGAAACACTTGAATGTTGAAACTCATGCACTTGAGTTGTAGTCTCTAACTTATCACTGGTGCTTACATTTTAAGGTTCCTGTAACTGTTCCCAAGTGTTCAGGTGTGTATGTGTATGTATTGTGAGTCTTAAAAAAATGTTAGCCAATTCTAATATATTATTTATTGTTGTTGATGCTGTTGTTATATATAATCATCTCTATTTCTGGGTGTAGCTACCTAGCTAGCTATCTAGAAAATACCCTCCATAAATATTAGTGGTGAGTCCAAGATGACAGGTGGGCCTGAGACACATGAAAACCATTTATGACAGGCTCTAGGATTAAAAGGAACGTTTTAATAGTTGAGATGTCAAAATTACCTAATTTTGTAGTTAACAGTCAAAATTAGACAAAGACAAGAGCTGAGGGACCAAACCTAGACCTAATCCTATAATTAAAGTTCTCTAATAACTCTTTCCCCGAATGCAGAGGAGGGATGCGAAGCGTCGCGCCATGGCATTGGCATGGTGTGTGCTCTCCAAGCCTGACGAGGCGACCTACTAAATTAATGCACTACTAGTATATGCCCGTGCTCCCCTACGATGACATTTAAGAAGTCATTAATTCTTTCAGGATTGATTAATAGTGTACGCTCCTCTCCAAGCCTGATGAGGCGACCGAGTACTCAATTACAAAGGAAGTCGTTAGTACTCGGAGACTATAAACAACCTAAATAAGGTGCGTCACTCCCACATGAACCAATTGGCCAGAGCTTGCTCCTTGGTCATTGCTAGCAGTTGTTGATCCGTGGTGCGAAAAGGGAGTCAGAGCCGTACGCTGGTGTTACTAATAAGTTTCAAGATGTTCTAGATAACTTGTCCATAAAATATGTTGCATATATGTTCAGTGTAGTGCTATTATAAGCCCTTTTCAAGACGGATCCAAAGTCTCTCTCTCTATTCCTTCATCCTTGTACAGTCGTTGTGTATTGGCTTGACATTGCAGGCTAATTGTTAACACCATAACATATGTGAAAAGTATATATCAGATTTTTTTGGTTGGTTAATTAATTTGATTGGTGCTATGTCATCTCATGCTACTTTAATTAATATGGAAACACGCATGGAAATTGTGAAAAGGAAAGTATCAAGATATTTTTATGACATAATTACGAATTCACATACATATGACACTATGATATGAATTACTCCTATTTAAACTTAAAAAGCATCTTATTTAAAAAGAAAAAAGAAAAACAGCAAATTAAAGTTAACTTTTATTAGGATTTTTTTTATAATTACTTTTATTAGGATTGAAGTTGTTGATCTAGCTAGTCACAAATAAATAGTTTGGGAGCAAAAGTACATACAGGTCAAGAATTTGTGATGAAAGCTAAGCTAGTGCACAAAGGATGAAGACGAGGAAAACAAAGATGAAGAGGGGAAGCATATATTTTACCGTGTTCGTTGTCGTCTTGTTGGGGCGGGCGGTGAAGACCACCATGGACACGGCCTTCAACCATCGCCACCCCTTCACCATAGGATCCCTTCTGATCTCAGGGTCGTCGTCGTCGTCACCGCCTGCTGCACCTGCATGATGCTGCGCTCGACGATCCCATGACTCGTCGTCTAGCTCTGCTGCCGACACCACCACCAAATCCTCCGTGTCAGCCGCTCGCTGGAGCCGTTGCCAGCGCTGCGTAGATCGCTGCTCCTCCTCGGTTTCCATTATCCGCGCACCGATCCTTGAAGAAGCTCAATTCCAGTTGGACTGTTGGAGGTATGTACTACGTGCTTATATTTTGATTTGGATGTGGGGGATGGGGGTGGAGCACCTATATAGCTATATATATCGCTTTCATTTTGTTAATGAATCGCAGCACCGTACCGGCCTTGCAGCCGTTCCACCATTTCTTCCTCTCTTACAGCAAACCAATGGCGAGCTGATGAGCAGAGTTGTTGGAATTTGGAAACTGGAACGACCGACGACGACGTCGTCGTCACGGGGGAACACGGTAACAACTCGCCGGCTTCTGTGGCAAACTGGCAATGGCTGCTGTCCTGCTAGCGCTGTCATGCATGACGAACGCCTCGTGCTCTCAATTCGTCTCTCTCAGATCCGATCCGATTCAGACTCGCAATTGATTAAGTCACAATATAATGCCAAAAGGTTGGACAAATATGGTATATATATGCAGAGAGGAAGCAGACAAGGGACCGGACCGGAAGGAAACAGTCAGTGACAGCTCATATCTATACTGCCGGCCGCGCCGCGTGCTGCTGTAAACTACTCCTACTACTGAATCAGGTAGGAAATAGGATAAAAGTAGGAAAGAAAGAGCCAGTGGCTCATCGCATCAGTGGAGCCAGTTGACCTCCACAATCTTCACTCAGCGATACTTCGTTCAGGTTTCCAACACACGGTTTCTAGTTATGATTTTCCCAACCGATTTATCTTACTAAGTATAGCTGATTGAACTTTTCTTTTCTCCTAGAAATATATCTCCTTTTCTTGCACGCCCGCCAGTGTTCGCCTACACGGCCGTATAGACCGAGATTTACTCGGCGTGTAAACTTTACTCGGCAGCTTGGTGTGTAGTTTAGTCCATAAACGGTAGGTGGTTACACGGTGAGTCCGGCCGTGTAAACTGTCAAAATCAGTCATACACGATCTCGACGGTCTACACGGCTCGTTGGCAACACGGTTTTGCAAGACGATTGTTCAGTTTTAATAGGTGTCCTTGTCTTCAACTGTCAGTTAGAGAGAGATGAGTTCCTCCACGTCTAGTGCTCTCGTGCTAGCAGCAGCAGTACTCCTAGCACTGACCTTAGCCCAGCATGGCTCCCTCGCCGCAACCGTCGGACCCAGGGTCATCGTCGTCGGCGCCGGCATGTCCGGTAAACGTATATATGTCATACATATCAAACAACACGTCTGCCCTGACGACGATGTTGATGAGATGAGGAGGTATTTTGTTATATATGTGGATACTTTTTCAGGGATCTCGGCGGCGAAGAGGCTGTCGGACGCCGGGATAACCGACCTGCTGATCCTGGAAGCGACGGACCACATCGGCGGCCGGATGCACAAGAAGAACTTCGCCGGCATTAACGTCGAGGTTGGCGCCAACTGGGTGGAGGGCGTGAACGGCGGCAAGATGAACCCCATCTGGCCCATCGTCAACTCCACGCTCAAGCTCCGGAACTTCCGCTCCGACTTTGATTACCTCGCCCAGAACGTCTACAAGGAGGAGTACGTCGACTATAGAGAGCTGATGAGCTCTGCTAGCTACTCCGTTCCATCCGTTAAAATTATAGTTCACCTTGATTTGTTATAAGTCAACATTTTTTAACTTCAACGAAACCTTTAGAAAATATACATAAAATCTAAACAGATGCTCAATCAAAACATATTTCATGGATAATTTAATAAAACTGCACTTTGGCCACGGTCGACTCTCAATAGCTAGACTGTTGGATCCCCATGGCCGCCACGGCGATGAAGACGCCAAGATCCGATGGCTCTTTCATTTCGAGAGGTGGCTTGTTTAGCATCTGCCTCTGAAAATGTCAAGGGTGTTTTAGGAGGTGACTTTCATAGTTTTTTTTTAAAGGAGCATGGAAATAAGATCTAAGAAAGGCTAATTAATATGAAAAATGTTGGCTAGATCATTGTAAATGGTTTCATCCTCAAACTCCCGGCAAGAGCTTGCGCGCTGTTCGCCTTGCTTCGAGATGGAGGTGGAGCTTGTGCTTGACTTCCCTGCACCAATCTTACCCGTCTGTTTTTCAATTCCGAGCAATTTGGGAGTTACTACAGATATTATACTTCACAACATGTTATTGTATTTATTCATGTGTGCATTTTGCTGTATATATAAACTGCAGCGGTGGCCTCTACGATGAAGATTATGTTCAGAAGAGAATTGACCGAGCGGATGGTGTGGAAGAGCTCGGGGAGAAACTCTCAGGCACTTTGCACGCCAGTGGCAGGGACGACATGTCTATCCTTGCAATGCAGCGCCTCAACGATCAGTACGTCCTATATATTATATACCGATGGAATAATTTCTGAGCTAGAGGTGTTGCTGAATAGGAGTGGTCTGTAATTTGAAAAAAAAAAGGACTGTAAAACTGCAAACTAACTAATGCATGCAATGGGCAGCCAGCCGAACGGGCCGGCGACGCCGGTGGACATGGTGGTAGACTACTACAAGTTCGACTACGAGTTCGCGGAGCCGCCGCGGGTGACCAGCCTGCAGAACGTCGTCCCTCTCTCGACCTTCAGCCACTTCGGCGACGACGTCTACTTCGTCGCCGACCAGCGGGGCTACGAGGCCGTCGTGTACTACCTCGCCGGCCAGTTCCTCAAGACCGACAGGTCTGGAAAAATCGTCGACCCGCGGCTGCAGCTCAACAAGGTATACATGCTTGCATTTTTCTTCTCTGATGCTGCGATGTATAAGGTCGTAGATAATACAACAAATCACATGCATGTATATATACATAATAAATAGGTGGTGCGAGAGATCAGCTATTCCCCGGGTGGCGTCACCGTGAAGACGGAGGACAACTCGGTGTACAGGGCAGACTATGTTATGGTTTCTGCAAGCCTGGGTGTCCTGCAATCCGCTCTCATTCAGTTCAAGCCGCAGCTACCTGTCAGTAGTTCCTACCTCAACTATATATTCCCATCCATATATGTATATATATAAGGGTACCTTCTACCTTGCATATATATTTCCTCAGCAATTTCCCTTGTCTGTCCCAGGCATGGAAGGTTACGGCGATCTACCAATTCGACATGGCCGTGTACACCAAGATCTTCCTTAAGTTCCCCAAGAAGTTCTGGCCTGAAGGGAAAGGGAGAGAGTTCTTCCTCTACGCGAGCAGCAGGAGAGGTTACTATGGAGTGTGGCAGGTACAGAAAGCATCAATGATGTTATTGTTAGCATATAGTTTTTTTTTATGGGCAGAATTAAATCAGATTTTGAACGAATACTGAACATTTTGCAACAATATATGATCTACTCAGGAGTTTGAGAAGCAGTATCCTGGTGCCAACGTCCTCCTTGTCACCGTGACCGACGAGGAGTCGAGGCGTATTGAGCAGCAGTCGGACAACCAGACCAAGGCAGAGATCATGCAAGTGCTGAGGAAGATGTTCCCCGGCAAGGACGTCCCGGATGCCACCGATATCCTTGTCCCGAGATGGTGGTCTGACAGGTTCTACAAGGGCACCTTCTCCAATTGGCCAATTGGTGTCAACCGCTACGAATACGACCAGCTTAGGGTACTACCATATGGATCTTCAATTTTGTGCTTCTATATATGTTGCTATTATGCTCCTATTTTTGAAGGCCTCATCCTTTGAATTTGAACCTCTCATTTTTTTTTCTGCACTCTAGGCACCGGTTGGAAGGGTATACTTGACCGGTGAGCATACCAGCGAGCACTACAATGGCTATGTCCATGGCGCTTATCTTTCAGGTAGATATATGTATTCACATGAGGTCTTCAATTGCCTACCCTTGAGCTTGCCAAGACTTCTAGCTAGTGATATAAGCTTAATTTGAAACTTACGGCGTGAATTTTCATTGTGTATATATGTTGACAGGTATCGACTCTGCTGAAATTCTCATCAACTGCGCCCAGAAAAAGATGTGCAAGTACCATGTCCAGGGCAAGTATGACTAGAAGCTCCAACAAATTAAACGTCTCCTCTTGTTGTACAACGGAGAATCTACCTATGGATATGATGGCAGTTGGCAAGCCTTTTCATTATTGCAATAAGGCGGCTGATTTATAAAGCTTCAATGCCAGTTACCATGTATGATTTCTGATTAAGTATTCTGCGTAAGTACCATGTTGCTCTTTTTATATTGAGTGGTGCGTGGCTTATGATATTCTATCTATCGATCTGTCAAACAAAACTTTGTATCGCGTAGTTCCAGTGGGAACAGTGGCAGACCCACGGTTTGTAAAACACTAGGGCCAAATTTTAGCGGCCAAACTCTGAAAGCCAGGAACTCGAGAGAAATACGATACAAAAGTCCTAGTCCTTCATATTGTACACTGTAATTTTACAATGTAACTGGAATCCAACCTCTACAAACTGAGAAGGATTGAAAATTGAAATTGGAAAACAATGCAAACCAGGGCTGCAGCTGCTATGATCCTCAGTTGTCAGCTCCTGTCTTCAAGGGCGCTGGAACGGCCACCGCAGGGGCTAGGGGCTGGGGCGCTGCCGCGTTGGGCGGCGGGCGGGCAGCCGGTGACCGGCCGAGCCACCGAGGGCGCAGCCGACCGCCGCGCAGGCCGGAGCCGCTAAGGGCGGAACGGAAAGGGCGAGCCACGGTGCCGGCGAGGGGCGGAGCGCAGATGCGGAGCGAAGGGCCGGAGGGAGGCAGTGAGCGACGTGCGACGGCGACGCCCTTGGTGGCAAGGTGGGCGACGGTGCGACTCCAGACGGAGTGACGGACGAGGATGAGATGCGACTCGCGAGTGAGGTGGTGTGAGTCGGGTGAACGAGCTGCCTTACTCCCAGCTGGGCTGACTCTTTGTTGGGCTGATGGGCCAAAAAAATTGAAGAGTTGCTCCCTATTTATTTGGGCCACGACTAGGCCCATGGCCCTACTGGCCCTGGCGCGGTAGGGTGTGGACGGAGCGGGTGACGGTGGAGGTGCTTGGTGATGTTGTACTACATATTTAACAGAAGAAAATGTATTTGTAGCACTCGATTTCCCCTCTCCTTCCGGCCTCTCCCTCTCCCCTTCTCCAAATGCGATGGCTTTAGAAGGGGGTTTCGGGGGAGGCAGGCCGACCAGGTGGTGGGGATGGCAGGAGGATGGCTTTCGGGTTCTGGCGGTGGTGGTGGCGGCGGCCAGGCCAGGTCGGGCTGGGGTGTCCGTGGCGGGGGCGTGCCATGGAGGATGTACGAGGGTAGGGGAAGAATGAGGCGGGTGGCAGCCGCGCTATGAAGAGGAAGGAATAGTGAAGCAAAAAGAAACCGAGTGTACGAAAGTATTTCGTTTCTGGTACTATTGGACCAATTTCTGCAGTATCTAGTCTACAGTACATATGTCTATTACAAATAAAATCAGTAGTAGTTGTCCATTGTGGCCGTGCAGATCTGGTTTGTACTATCTATTCTATATGTATAGTACATCTGTCTATTACAGTTGTGTTCGTTTATTCAAAGATTGCATAAGGAGATGAAAGACTCCTTTCTCTATGCACTTTTCATTTTTTCTTATACAAATGTTTACTATTCACAGGGGATGGATGGAGTGAGGACTTTGCTTGGTGTGCTCACTGTTCATGTTGATATTGTCCTTTCACCCTAGAATCCTTTGTATGATGGAACTGAGGAGTTTCAGTTAGTTCAGAGGAGGAGGAGCTCTGTCGATACCCTATCGTGCTGCGGCGGGGCGGTTGGAGGTGGCGGCGGCGGCGCTTGGGTTTAGGGTACTACATATTTAACACAAGAAAATGTTTTTGAAGCATAGTTGTGTTCTCGTTAAATTCCAAAGTATTTCGTTTCTGGAAGTGGGAGCAAATTTTTTTCTCAGAGATCTCCCTCTGTCCAGTGTACATGAGTTTCTTAGTCCGTTAATACATGAGTTTCTTAGAGTTATCTGAATTTTGCAGGAATATTGCGGTTGTCGGGATAGCTCTTGAGCAGGAAGATGTCAAAAAGATGCTAACTTGACTAGTTCTATGAGTCAACAGTTCCTTTTAACTTCTCCAGATAACTACTCCTAGATGTGGCAAACTACTATTGGCATCTTTTAGACAAGTGACGAGTTTTTTTTTTTTTTTGAATATGGTCCACTGTTTGCAGTTGAAATTAAAGTGGTGCCAAGAAGGTAACTGCATACGTTTAGTAGGTTAGTAAAATGGAGTAACAGTGACACTGCTTATGCATGCAGCTGGTCGCCTGTTCGTGGCAACACGCAAATTAACACGGCTGCATATATGCTTTGTCCATGTAGCGATAAAAGCGATGCATGGATTAAATTCCTGAGCCATCGGTGTTGAGTTGCAAATCGTAGTAGCTGATTTGGTGCCCTGACGACCTTACCTAAATATACTAAGGCCACAGGGTGCTTATGAGCCGTTTTGGGCTGTTATTCTGTTTTCCCTCCACGGTGGACTCCAGCGTGGCCCTTCTGCGGCGCTTTGCGAGGCAGCGGCGCCAGGACCGACTCTTGCGTGATCCCCAGGAGGCGGGCGCTCGAGATAACACTGCAAACTACCTCAACAGACGACAGTTGATTCAGTTCTGGGATATATTGGATAGCGTTTGCTTCTTCTCCTCTACCCCTCTGCTCTATATATACATCATTTAGCCTATAGGAAAATCACACAAGCACTCACAAATGGATCATACGCCTCCCGGTGGCTTCATGAATTGGCTAAACTACTCAGCCAATCACCCATCCGAAAACCTAGAGCATTGCCCATATCCACAATATATATCATTATTCATATCCTCGTGTGTCCCAGCTCAACAGTATGCACAGAATTTTTTTGAGCCTTCTTGGTGGATGGAATATATCCTGGATGGGCAGCATTTGTCAAGTCAATCCGTGCACCTCAAAATGCTAGAGATAGACTATTTGCAAAGAAACAAGAATCAGCCAGAAAGGACGTCGAACGAGCATTTGCAGCTTTACAATCTCGCTTCGCCATCCTACGATATGCAGCCCGTTATTGGCATCGATCAACCCTTAGTGACATCATGTATGCTTGCATTATATTGCATAATATGATAGTGGAAGATGAACGAGATAATGCTTTTTTTTCTCGAATACGCAAGAGCATTGCGTATCATTGTATTAAGAAGGTAGAAGCTTAAAATACAATAGAGACCGTTTCTGGCCCGACTGTTACGTCAAAGGGACTACATTTTGACTACGACAACCTTGGGATCCATTGGGATCAACCTAGACTACGATCTAGCTAAAGTACAAAACCACGCTGCTCCACCAGCCATCGCCCTGGATGCTGGGAACAGCGCCTCAAGCGCCTCGACGTTTGAAAGTTATTGTGCTGCATCTAGATGACTAGACAAAAGGTATCCTTTGTTGTAGCCATTAGACAAATTGCATAATGGAACCTGATGAGAAATTTGTCTTTCATTCGGTACTGCCGTACCTGTAACAGGAGGAAAGGTAATACGTTAAATGATTACAGAAAAGATGGGTGAAATGCATGCAAAACCAGACTCCATACATATTTAAGATTGCACAAAGAGAAGGTAAACGAAACTTCCACAAATTTATGCCGACCTGATGTTCTTGTATGATCAGCATAGCCCTGGATTATGCCATCATCAGGACCATTATCATGATACCTGTTCACATGCAAAATTCTTCGAGCGAGCTTTTGTATCATTGCTCTGTATCAGCTGGAGAGTTATCTGAAAGAGCACTTATTGCAGCAGATCGTAGCCTAAGGATCGAATTGATTGAAAGGCGAGAGGAAAATTCATCATTGCAAAGAGGGAGGATACATAAGAACAGAAGAGGCAGAAATAAGAGGGAGTTACTTTATTAATCCATCCAAATCTTCCATAGTAAAAGCACATTCTCTGCATAATCCGTCAGTTATAAAACAATCAGCTCAACTAACTATACTAAAATTGGAGTTCCAAAGTGTAAAATCTCTGGACTGCCACCTACAGATATTTTGCACGTCCTAGGCAGCACAAAGCTTCTCGAATTCCGTGGTCGAACACTTCCCTGTAATGAGCTTTCCATGCCATATCATGTGTTGCATAAAATGATCGCCACCTCAATATGTCACAACCCGTGAAGCATTGAACAATGACCACAACCCAGGAAAGGATAAGAAATAAAGCAATAAGTGCTCGTCCTGAGACCTGATCAGCTTCATCCTGTCCTAGATTATAAACCATGCAAACCAATTATTCAAGCCCAAGTAGAAGAGTGGATTAGTACAGCAGAAAATAAAACCTTAGGATAGTATAATGAAATCCGCATACTCTTAAGAGTTGCTCCTAGATTCTATTGATTAACTATTTTTCAGTACATTTATTGGAGGCAAAAGCTGCTCAAAGCAAGAGTATTTATCATGTTTGTGGTACCATTCACTCAAAAAATCCATATGGAAACCTCAAGATAAATGTGCTCACAAGTTATTCCCCCTTTATTTGCGTAGTTGTGTGTATGAAGCTCATGTGACTGTAAACTACCAGCAAACAAAAACTTCTTGTAAAAGATTATGTCCAAAGTTAAGAAATAAATGGCTCATAATGGCAACCAACATGCCAAAGAAGCAGATGCATCAAATTGAGGTGCTTTTAAGGAATAAGCAGTATAGGCAGCAAACAGCGAGGGTATGGGTTTCACATGACAAGGAAAGCAAATGTGCTAAACAGTGTAGTGTTTACACAAGACTAGGCCATTTTAGTTACCTTTGGCAAATCATATATCCGGCACACTCTCAGGGAGCATTGTTTCCTACAAATGAAGAGGAACATTACCCATAAGTACACATGCCACAGACAGCCAGTTTTCAGCTTTGATGAACATTACACTTAGCTTACCTCTTCTCTCTTGGAGCATGTTCACCGATTGTGACCCTCACCCTTACACAGGGTATGATGAGGACATCTCTTCCATTGATACAACCACACCTGCTGCACAACAAGGTCCGATGACAAGAGCTCG